AGGAGTGAATTGATTGTACGAGAGTCAGTCAATTCACTGCTTTGTACTGGAATTCGTTCCAAGTAGTGGAGATCAGTGTGAACCGCGTTAGCAGTCTATCCCGATGAAGGCTAGTTGCCTGCCAGGTATTCTGTCTAAGAGGGCTTGGTCAGATTAAGAGATTCCAAGCTATTTTCGGATCTTCCGCAGTTTAATCAACAGTCTAGTAACCAAAAGGAATTATAACTTGGACCTAATTGAGAAGCTAGGGGGAATCATACATAAGTGAGTTCCCAACTTGTAATTAGTAGTTTAGCCTTAGTTTAGTTAGTAGAGTAGTTTAGTAAATCAATCATTAATCTGGTTTGCTAGATAATGAACTGAAGCCGAGTAATAGTAACTCTAGAGACCCGTGGATTCGATATTTATTACTTGTGCTACTATACTGCAATCCCTTTCATTGGTTACACTTGGTCATTATTAGGAGTTGTGTTTTAGCGAGTCATGTTTTTGGCGCCGTAGCCGGGGAACTTTCTAAATTATTAGGAAAGACATAAGTTTGTTATTTTAGCATTTTTTTCTTTTCCACCCTTGCTTTTCACTTGGGTGTTCTGTTTTTGTTGGTGCAGATATGAATCATGGATCCTCATGGCTTCTCCAATCATTTGGGGTATCTACCACCACCGAGTGTTATTATCCCGAGACTTCCTATAGCAATCAAGGAGGAGAAGACTATGGATTCAGGTTTCAGTACCAATCCCCCTACCACGAAGAACAATCAAACCCCTCGGCATTCCAAGAACAATCTCCTTATAAAAAAGGAATTCCTCTCTCAGCCACATCCAAACTATCACTTGAGGCTTCTCGTGGAGGAGATTGCTCGAGTACCTGAGAGATACTTTCCAACGATGGATATCCTGAACATTGCCCAAAATTGAGTTATCCAACCGTGAAATGGAGAAGACCCTCCAGAGCATTAAGAAGAGCCTCGAGGATCTTGTGCAAGTTTGTGCACAACTTGCTCAAGATCTTCTATCTGCTGCCACAGAAGAAGAGGATGAGGATTAAGGAGGCTACAAGGACATTGTGGAACATACGGAAGTTGTCACGGTGAGCTCCCGTGATGATCATTATCAAGAATATCCTGTTGTAGTCGACCACATCTTTCCACATCGATCTATGAAGAGGTGGGCATGAGCGAGGAGATGCAAGATGATCTCATGCAATAAATTGCTTGGCGACTTGCTCTCCAATCCGTGCTGGAAGAAGAAGAAGAGCGAGAAAGGATCAGGAAAGAAGTTTTGGAGGATGACGGAAGTGAATTAGATGAAGTTCTTGATCTTTTCCAAGGGGAGGAATCAAATTCAGAGGAAGGAATGGGGTTGAAGAAGCAATTGGCGTCCAGGACGAGGACGAAGTTGAGGTGGAAGAGGCTTGCACCAGCCTTGACATACATGTGATATCTCCACCAAACTTCGAGGAGATGCTTGGCATGGACCCATTTGCATTGTCTCTTTGCAAGACCAAGGCCACATAGGCATCGGTCCTTCTTGGTGGACACGATGGTGGTTAATTTATGCTGTCATATCTGGTTTGGGGTAATGAGATGAGAAAGAAGAGAAGGAGAGGTCTCGAGGGTGGAGACTTCATCTGCATCAAGTGCATGAGCCATCTGCATCACCTATCATACCACCTGCTCGTGACTTGAGACTCCACCTCATTGATGAGAACCTCAACTTCAAGGAGGTTCTAGGGTGGACCGAAACTTAGGAGCCACCGTCCGGCTCAGGACGTGAAAGAAGCTCTTGTTGGGAGGCAACCAACCAGCAGGTTTGCATTTCTTTCCCTATTTCTCTTCGGTTGAGTCAATTTTATTCTTTGATTTTATAGTCAATAACTCATATTTGTGTGCTGGATGCTCTCTCTACTCACCTGGAATGCACCGCCTAACCCACCCACCATCATTCACACTTGATCTGGTAACTTCGTTCTACCCTCATTATCTTTCCTCCATTGAGGACAATGTCGTGCTTGAGTGTGGGGGTGTTCCATTATGTTTGTTTGTGACAGTTTGGTTGTCTATTTGTGATTGGAGCCTACTTCACTCTCCAAATCTTTTATTTGAGGGCTCCAAGTAATTGTCTCCTTGCAATTTCCTGTTTAGTATGCTTTAAATTGACAGTCTTTATAGCAATATGTAACCTAGTTAGGTAGTGTAGCACTATGGAGGATGCTGATGCATTAAGAAGTCTCATTTCATCTTCATATTGTGTTGGTTGATTGTGACAATTAGTGATCTTAGGACACTTGAATCGTGTAGTATCGTTGACTCTCTACCTATCACGGACTCATGTATCATGTTTTGAAAAAGGTGCTCTAAATTGTGCTTTTAAAAATAATGTATCCCGTGTGGAATTCGGTGAACGTGTGTGTAAGGGGAGATGGGAATCTGTTCCCAACTTCCACCTACTACCTCCAAGCCCCTTACACCTATTTCCCCCGCACGAGGGTTGAGACATCTGCTCCCGGAATGGCCGGTAAGAGCCGGGATCCCTCAAAATCTTTGCTAGATGGGAGCCTCGTTTTCTGAAAATGACAGGTTGGAACCCTTGCAAGCAAAAAACAAACAAACAAGAAAATGAAAAAAATGGAGGGTTCCAACCATCTTCAAAGGAAAAAAAGGGAGCACCTAAGAAAGTTGAGTCCATGATTTCCTGTTTTCTAGAGTCACTTTATACACTGATCATTTGTTATAAGACAACTACTTGGCATGATCTCGACTCGGGACTAGAGTTCTCGCCGAAGAAGCAAGGAGGTGTCTTGTTCATTAGTAGACCTCGTAATATGCTAAATGACCTAGGAAGTCCTCTACCGACGATCGGGGTTGCATATTGCTGTAAAGATCTAGAGAGTTGCATTGGTTTGAGTCAGGTTTGCTTGGGGGCAAGCAAACGGTTAAGTGTGGGGGAATTTGATAACACTGAATTTGCACATGTTTACCCCTCATTCCTTGATTGTTTAGCTTGGTTTTTATCATACTTTGGCCTATTTTACGCTAGGTTATGTTCCTTTGTCACATTTCAGATCCTAGCATGTATAGTGAAGCATAGGTGCAAGTTTCAAATCAATCGGAGATCAATTGGCGATTCGGGAGAAAAAACTCGGGCATGACCTGAAGAAGAATGGATTCATACCTCAATTATGGACAAATAATCATGCAAGCTTGTCTTGAAAATAAAGAGGACAAGACTACAAGTGTCTGGGATCAAATGACGAATAATTCAGAGTCCAAACGAGGGAGAAACGAAGCATCAAATATAGTGAAACAGGTTCGGAGGAATAAACACGGGCAAGAGAAACACGGCCGTGTCTTTCCCTCTTGTGCCAGTGTTTTTAGTACAAGAAGAAACACGGGCTTCGAAACACGACCGTGTTTCTGCACCCTGCTCATGTATACGTCTGTTTTCTGCGATTTTTTAGAGGGAGAGCTGGGTTTTGGATCCCAAACACCCAAGGGACGAACCCTAGATAGGGAGAGCGACTTGGGAACATTCTTGGAGCTATTTTGGAGGATTTCTTCGCCATTGGAGCTCGGGAATCAAGCTTGGAGATGGAGATTGAAGATCTAAATCAAATTTCTGCATTCTCTCTCTTCTTTATGGAGTAACTTCCCTTCACTTAGGTTTTGAGGAACCCTAGTTATTTCCATTTGTTAGGATCTTGGTTGTTTGAATCTTTGGATGCTATATTGTTTGATTATAATCAATTGAAGCATGTTTTGTTGAGTCAATTGGATCTTGATCACATTCTATTGATTTCTGCTTTAACCGATGATGGAGAGAATCTTATTAGGTTGATAGAGCTTCTTCAATTGATAGGATTGAATTGATTTTACGAGAGTCAATCAATTCATTGCTTTGTACTGGAATTCATTTCAAGTAGTGGAGATCTGTTTGAACCGCCTTAGCAGTCTATCCGGGTGAAGGCTGGTCGCTTTTCAGGTATTCTATCTAAGAGGGTTTGGTCAGCTGAAGAGATTCCAAGCTATTTTCGGATCTTCTGCAGTTTAATCAATAGTCTAGCAACCAAAAGGAATTATAACTTGGACCTAATTGAGAAGCTAGGGGGAATCATACCTAAGTGAGTTCCCAACCTGTAATTAGTAGTTTAGCCTTAGTTTAGTTAGTAGAGTAGTTTAGTAAATCAATCATTAATCTGGTTTGTTAGATAATGAACTGAAGCGGAGTAATAGTAACTCTAGAGAACCGTGGATTCAATATTTATTACTTGTGCCACTATACTGCAGTCCTTTTCATTGGTTACACTTGGTCATTGTTAGAAGTTGTGTTTTAGCGAGTCAACTATAAGATACCATACTACTGACTTTTTCAGCATAATCTCTGATACGGTTTCACAATCATTGCACATAAAAAACTGTTTGTAAGAAGGTGTTTTTTTATTGATATCAAGACAGATCAAGAAGCATGCTTGATCACATGTATATATGTATTTCTATTGAGGCTACATCTCCTAATGTCAAATAACTAATTTTATAATAAAAGCTATGGGGTAAATGCCAAGTTTGGCTACTGGGTTTACTAAAAAGAGTTATGTTTAGTCACTAGAAATATTTAATTCTAATATTGGTCACTTGAATTAGCAAAACAGTCCATGTTTGGTCACTCACTGTTAGTCTTTGTCAGTCTCCGTTAACGTCGTCAGTCATTTGCTGACGTGACTAACAGAAGTGTTGACGTGCCTTATGTCAACCTGCCACATCACCAAACCCGACCCTCCACATCAACGAAGCCTCCACGTCATCAAATTCAACCACCCATAACTCAAAATTCCAACAAAACCACCTGTGACCTTCTGACTCGACCCACATCTTAAAAGTTGGGTTTCTTCGTTGCAGGTTTCGCTTGTCGTTGAACTTGCCGCCGGAGTTGGAGTTGACCACTGACAGAGTCTATCCCCTCATCCCCTGTCACGCTACTGGAATTCCTAAAGATTATCTAGATTTCCAATTGTTGTCATCTGGGGAGGCGGTCACATCTGCGGCAAGCGAGAAGGAGCGGTGGTCCGATCTCCTCCACCGCGAACCCTTCGTGCGGCGGCGAGAGCCACTAGAGAGAGGACAAATCTAGGAGGTGGATTAGAGGACGAAGGATGAGACGTTATTCATTGATCTCGTCATGGGATCCTCAAATCACCACCACCTTCACCATTATCCCAAAGACAACATACTGAATCTCGACGACGAGCCACCAACAATTCTCCCTCCGCCTTCGTTTTCGTCATCATCCCCATCAACCAAATCCCTGGCCACCACATCCGGGACAATCGGCGGCCATCAATGACAATGAGGGAGGAGGCACAGCAGATACTTGCGGCAATAGCTAGAGTTGTTGAGAGATCTAGCAATTTTCCACATCAATTCGAACCAGTTCTGCGGGGTGGTGCCTCGGACGTTCAAGAACTGGAAGCAACTCTACGAGTTGGATCTCAGCAACATCCCTTTTTGTTTTCGGTTAGGAACAGGGAGAAGGAAGAAACAAAAATAGGAGGCGAGCCCGGGAGGTGGGAGGCGGAAAGCCTAAGACGTTGTCGTCGGAATCCTCTTTGCCATCCTCAAATTTTGCATCGTCGCTGTCACCGCCACCTGTCTATGTTCCCGTATGATGTTGTTGCGCATTGGGTCTTCACGAGTGGTCCATGGCATTTCAACGACGACATGTGCTACATCCGAAAATGGGAGCCGAGACTTAGGGCAGAGTCACCTCGTTCTGAGATACCGATCTGGGTACGTTTTCTTGACCTCCCTGTTGAATATGCAAACGGGAGGATTCTCACGAGGCTTGCTAGTATGCTGGGGAAGCCATTATGGTTTGATCAGTCCACTAGGCTAGGTCGCCGGTTGGGATATCCGAAGGTATGCGTTGAAATGAGTATTGATTCTGCTTTCCCCACCTCCTTGAAATTAGTCCCGGATAAGAGACCTCCTATGTCTGTGAACCTAGAGTACTGTCATAAGCCTGTCATTTATGAGAAATGCAATGAATTTGGGCATGAATGTAAGGTAGTAGAAGTTGAAGTGGTGAACTAGGTGGAAGTTGAGGTACTGTCTACTGAGGGAGAGGGGGCACAAGGGGTAACTGAAGCTCCTCCTGAGGCTATTCCAGTCACTAAAGAGCCTGCCACCACTCTAGGAGTAGTGGGTCTTCAACAAGCTGTTGCAAACTTGGTTACTTCGATTACTGAGGGGAATTCATTAGGGTGGGGGCAATTACCATATGATAAAGAGTTTCAGAGTGCTGTTGAGAAGCTTGTGAGTCCTTAAAAGCATGGGAATTATTTTGTTTCTCTTAGCTCACTGGAACAATTTGAGATAGGTTTTGTAGTCATCTCGCCATTGAAGGATACCTCCCAGTTTCCTGCGCTGTGTCGTACACCAGAAAGTCAGAAAAAGAAAGGCGAAAACAAGCCAGGGCGCCCCCCAAGGCTAAGGGGCATGTCAAGCCATGATAGTATTAACCTGGAACATGCGAGGCTTCAATAGCTCGTTGAAACAAGAGTATATAGTTGATATGGCTAGAAGGTTTAAGGTGGACATTATAGCTATTTTGGAAACGAGAATTAGTAGGGAAATGTGGAGAAAATAATAAAAGACAAGTTTTCAGATTGGAACTTTGTAGATACCTATTCTGCAGTTCAGATGGGGAGAATATGGGTGTTATGGAAGAAGGAAATACAGTTTAAAGTGCTGGAAAAGTCAGGGTATTATGTACACGGAATAGTCCAGGGGAAGGAGTTAGTGCATTTCTCTTTTGTCTACAACTCGAATGATTCGATGCAGATGAGGTCAATTTATCAGGAACTCAGAGCCAAAGTGAATACTACTATTCCTTGGCTTGCAGTAGGGGATTTTAATGCAGTGATAACTCGAATGAGACTTCTAATAAAATAGTATAAGATGAAAGTGTGCGAGATTTTAGTCAGTGGATTCAGGATATGCAACTTACGGATCATAGCATAATTGGTCCTTGGTTTACCTTGCTTAATAAGCAGCAGGGGAATTCAATTGCTAAAAGGTTTGACAGAGGCTTGATTAGTAATAGCTGGTTAGATGCCTTCCCTAGAAGCTCGTTCAGAATCCTTCCTCCCGGATTATCTGATCATTGTGGTCTTCTACTTCACACTGATGTCAAAAAGAAGACTTTGCCCCATCCCTTTAAGTACTTTAGCTTTTGGAAATTGCACCCAACGTATGACCAATTAGTTAGAGAAGGCTGGCAGGAGGCTGGAGGTAATTCAGCTATGTCCAGGTTATGTAGGAAACTCAAGCAAGTCAAGGAAAAGCTCAGAAAACTGAATAAAGAACATTACTCTGACATCCATGAGAGGGCGAGGATTGCCCAAGCCGCACTAGCTGTAGCTCAAATTGAAGCCTTGGAGCGCCCTGCCTATTTGGCTTTTTAAGCTAAAAGAAGGTTTATGGTCCAGTTTCAAGAGTTACAGTTAGCAGAGGAAATGTTTGCTAGTAAAAAATCCAGGCAGCTATGGGTGAATTTTGGAGACTCCAATTCTAGGTTCTTTCATACTATGGTTAAGACCAGGCATGTGAGGAATCAAATAACTCAATTGGTAACTGAAGATGGTCGAGTGTTGAAAGACATTGATGATATGGGGAAGGAGGCTGAAAGTTTTTACAAGGGTTTGTTTGGAACTGTTGATAATTCTGTGGTAGAAGTATCAGTTGAGATGTTGCAAAAACTTCTTATCCACCGCCTGCCAGATGATGTTATTGATTTGTGCACACCAGTTTCAAGGAAGAAGTTAGGAAAGTAGTGTTCAATATGAAGAAAGACAAGGCCTCAGGCCCTGATGGGTTCACAACTGAGTTTTTCCAGGAGCATTGGTCTCTAGTAGGAGAGGATGTCTATCTTGCAGTTGCTAAATTTTTCCAAACAGTGGAAATGAGACTTGAGGTAAATAGTACTATCCACTCACTTATCCCAAACGTTCACAATGCTAATACTATGAAGAATTTTAGGCCAATCTCATGCTGTAATACACTCTATAAGTGCACCTAAAAAATTCTAGCTAATAGAATCAAGGAAGTAATGCCATCCATTATTAATCCTAATAAGTATGCCTTTGTAAAAGGTAGGCTAATTACAGACAATATCATACTAGCCCATGAAATGGTCAAATGGTATGGTAGGAAAGCAATTTCCCCTAGATGTGCACTAAAGGTTGATATTATGAAGGCGTTTGACAGTGTGAATTGGAGGTTCCTGTTCAATGTAATGAAATCTATGGGGTTTCCTGTTATGTTTGTGGGGTGGATCGAAAGGTGTCTAAGTAGTGCAAATTTTTCTATCTGCCTGAATGGGGGGTTGACTGATCACTTCAGAGCTATGAAGGGGATAAGGCAGGGGTTTCTTCTCTCCCCTACCTCTTTGCTATTAGCATGGAGATTCTGAGTTGTATGCTAAATAGAGCTGCTTCTAGGCGAGTCCTCCCTTAACGCACCTATGTTTTGCAGACGGAATGTGGAGAGTGTTAAAGTAGTGGTAGAGATACTGAATCATTTTTATAAGATCTCTGGACTAAAATGCAGCCCAAGCAAAAGTGAGCTGATTAGTGCTGGGAAACTACCTGTCCACTACCTGGGTTTGCCTTTAGTGGCAGGAAAAATCAGCTCTGCTGATTGTAAGAACCTCATCAATGTAATTACGCAAAGAATCTAGGGTTGGAAACCTCTCACACTCACCTATGTTGGAAAATTCCAGCTAGTTACTGCTGTACTAGCAAGCCTTACTCACTTCTGGATGAATGTAATTCAGCTGCCAAAGAAAGTTATTAGGGAGGTAGAGCAGTTGTATTCAAAATTATTATGGGGGAATATTGAGCAGGAGAAAAAATCAATAGTTTCATGGAAACATATTGCTCTTCCAAGACATGAAGGGGATTGGGGTTTAAGGACTTACATACATGGAACAAAGCCTGTATAATTCGACATTTGTGGGCATTAGTCTTTGATCAACAGACCCTCTGGACTGCTTGGATAAAAGAGTACCGAATCTGGAATGTTAGCATCTGGGAAGTTAGCACGAAGGGGTTGTGGATTTGGAACAAAATCTTGAAGCTTAGGCCTGCAGTGAGAAATCACTTAAGAAGGACAGGGCAGGGGATTGAGTGGCAGAGAAAGCTGATGGATAAATACCATATATTGCGGATTTGGGAGAGTATACGGCCAAGGCAACAAGAAGTTACTTGGGCTTCTTTGATCTGGCGCTCTGTTATGATACCCAAAAACTCTTTTATAGTTTAGCTTATTATGCTTGATCGGATTACTACGTTGTCAAAAGTTAAGAGGTGGAACCGCAATGTCTGTGTGCTCTGTCCTCTGTGTTAATCTAAAGAGGAGATGAGAGAACACTTGTTTTTCTACTGTGATTATGTGAAACAGATTTGGAATGTAGTTTTGGAGGCCTGGCTTATTCGGTTTTATGCAGATTGGGTTCCAGGGGTAGAAGAAGTTGTGCGACAAATGCAGAAATGCTATGTGGGGAGACTCCTCTGGTGTTTGATGGTTAGTGAGGTGTGGCGTGAGAGATGTAGGAGGTTATTTGGAGGAAAGCAGTTGAGCAGCATGGAGCTCGTCGCACAGATGCAGAAGGCTCTGCAGGCAAAGCTGGATGGTGATGAGAAATTTGCTCTTGCAGCAGCTTCCCGTAGACTATGGTTTTGTTGAAAAGAAGACACCTTTATTGTTTGTTTTATTTGTAATTTTGGCCTGTTGGGTTGATGTTGTAATAGGTTGGAGATATAATGTATTGTAAACAGATTGAATTTTGATGAAATAAAGCCCAACCATTCATAAAATAAATTTAACGTTATTTAAACTACAGAAAACTAAAAGTATTTTTTTTTTGTTACCGTAACCAGGTAAAGGGGAAAGCCCATGACCGGGTATGGCCAGTAGAAAATGGGCGGCATCAGTGCAATCACTGCACTAAAGAATTCATGTACATTCTAACACGGTGTTAGAACTTATAATTGTTATGCTTTTTTGTTTGAGAATTCACAGCTCCTCTTTTCAGGAATAGGACACAGGGAAATTTTTTGAAGTTTAAGGGTTTAATTTATTTGGTCATTTTCATCCCAAAGTTCCTAGTTAGCAACATTGATTAATCCCACACCATTAAATCATATTTAATTTTCCAAGCAGGCTGCTACAGCAGATGAGGTTTCCGGAGAAGTATGGTCACATCTAAGCAATGATAGTTATGCTTTATATTTGGATGAATTGGTTGGAATTGAGGCTCATATAGAAACCATATTACAAAAATTAAGTTTGAATTATGAAAATCTAACGATGGTTGGCATTTACGGTATTGGTGGACGCCAAAGATGTAAGGCATCGGTTTCATTGAGGAAACTCGCGTGTTTAATGTGCTCTGTTATCGAGTAAAACAAGAACAAATATAAAATATCAAACGAGCGTTACTCGGTTCACACCTCTCCAAACAATGTTCGAACTATTCGAGGAACCGAACAAAGAGGATTTCTAAGTTACGCTACCTCTACTCCTATGGAGATTCCTCTAGAGAGCTCCGCAACTACGACTAAGATCTACGACTCTGCAAAGGAGATATTTGACAGAGTAGTTCTACAAAACTAGAGAGAAAAAGGTAGGTCTGCGACGGTGCAGTTTGTGATTTGATTTTGACGTCCTCAACTTCTCTCTCTTCCCAATGTTTATAACCCAATCTTCCTTCCGTAGTCGCAGTTTCCACTTAACTCCGTCTTTGTCTCTCAAGTTTTCAATTCCTCTCAACCGTGTTGGTAACTTCCATTTCGTTGCGTGTCTCCCACGCGTGCAAAAACGTTCTGTAGAGACTTAGCAAAACAAAATTGAGCCAACCTTGTAGCTATCTACCCTGGTTGGATAATCCACCCCGGCTCATCAATCCAAAACACAGTAACCCTTGTTCATCAAACGTCGGCGTAGCACACGACGATGCTTCACTGGTAGCATCCGAGCCTTTCATGTGCGACGTCGTCGTTGTGGCCTGCGGCATTGCTTTCAACAAAACATTGTCGCTTCTAATACTGCGCAAACGACCTTGTTGTGTCAAAACACAATGTCGTTTTCTAATACTGCGCCAATGACCTTGTTGTGTTTTATAGCTTCG